TCCCCAGTCGAATGGGCTTGCTGCCATTATTTCACTCTCTCCTACTACTTTTGAGGAATTGGACCATGGGATTGATAATTTTCTAATGCAATACAGGAACGCCGTCCATTCCGTTACTGGGAAGAGTCCCGCGCTTCTATTTAAAAGCAAAAAGCAAAAGCAGTTTTACAGCGGTCCTTCGGGTGGACCTCGACCTGCCAATACCCAGCGCTAAATCCAGGGTGGAAAACCACCCTGAGCCAACCACTGCGTCAATAGTAGCATCCACGCGTGGAAATGGGAATGAGTCACGCTCAGTGACCTGATTCAGCTGTCGGTAGTCCACACATATCCGTAAGCTACCATCTTATTGCTTACCAGGACGATTGGTGACGACCAGGGTGAGGAAGATGGACGGATGAATTTTTTCTTTAACATCTCGGAAAATATGCTGTCGAGTTCACCCTGGCGGTGGATTTGGAGCATCCTGGGAGGGAACAGCGGAAATCGCTTGACAACGCGGTGCCGACCAAAAACCAGCGCCGAATCCAAATAGACCACGTCGACGTCAGTTATCGGTGGCGAGGGTCAGTCACCGCCTGCCGCTCCTTCTGAAACACCAGCGTGGACTCCGACCTTGCACTTGTACGCTGCTGCTTTCCATTGCGCTTTTCAGGTGTACGCAAAACGCGCACACATCGCTTAGCCATTGGGAAGCTAGTGGACCCAGAAGTCAAACCAAATTATCAGAACCAGCTCATCGAATGCCTGCCGGACGGTACAGTATCGGATGTAAACGGCCACTGGGCAAAGATCCTCAAGCGCTACTCAAAACCGGAATGCCTGTTTTCGATGCAAACCAGCCAACCTCATCCAAACATAGGATCTCTGATAGGACCGTGTCTTTGCTGGAGACCCGGCGACAGATTCCACCTGGTCACAGCCACAACTCCACCCGGCACATCTTCCGACGCCAGGTGAATTTTGGTGTCCGCGCAGACCGAGGAGCTTGGCGGACCGGAAAAGCCGAAGAAATGGAGGATGCCAAGAATGCTGGAAACGTACGCAAGCTGTCCCACTTGATTCGTTCGACTAGTCCTCGGAAACCTCACGTCAGCGAAATAATCACAGACCAGAATGGTTCCCTGATATGCAGCAAAGCAGAAAGTTTGGACCGCTGGGCACAGTACTTCGAACAGCAATTCAGCTGGCCACCTGCTACCTCCAATCCAGAATTCTAGCCTCCAGGAGAAAGGTGGACCTTAAATATGGAGCCGGCTCCAGTCTCAGAAGTGTCCAAATGTATTTCGCCACTCAAGCGACATCGTGTCGCTCGTCTTGACGACTCTCCATCTGCTCTTTTCAAGGACGGTGGTGGACTCCTCAGCCAATGCCTGTTTAGCCTATTTGGGTCTATCTGGCAGGATACCGTCCCAGACAACTGGGGTGAAGCGAAAGTGGTGCCTCAAAACAAAAAGGATACTCGCAGTGAATGTAGTAATCGTAGAGGTGTTAGTTTGACGCCTGTTGTGACAAGACTTCTGGCGTCACCTTCTTCGTCTTCAAGGGTGTGTTTGGTTCTGTTGATCGATCAATGCTGTTAACTACACCTGCTAAACAGGCTACGCCCCAGAAGTTTGTAAACATAATCCGATCGTTATATTCATATACATCTGGGCGGGCGATAGTGTATGGTGAGCTCTCCAAAAGCTTCCCTACAGAAAATGGTGTCAGACAAGGATGTCATCATCATCGTCATCGACAGCATGACATCAGTGCTCATCACCGATGTTTCACTGCCGTAAGTCAAGGATGTTTGCTCTCTCCATTCTTGTTCAAGTTCGTCATTGATGAAGTAATGAGGTGAACACTGGGTGGTCTCCAAAAAAAACCCGGTGTTCAAATTGTTGCTGGTGAGAACGCAGATGACATCGCCCTCATCTTTGAAGATCAAGGCGTAGCACGAGCTCTGTTGAATAAACTGACCGGCATCTTCTTTTGGCATGCGCCCCGCACCTTCAAAGTGCAAGGTCATGCTTCAGAACGTGCCATCTGCGAATATATCCCTTACAATTCAAGGAGAACCACTGGAGATCGTGGAAAACCTTACGTACCTCGGTAGTTGTATTAGCTCTGACGGAAGTGTGTCTGATGAAGTCAGTGCACGAATCTCAAAGGCTCGAATCACGTTTGCTACTTTGCGTCACTTGTGGCGTCAAAAAGGCGTCCCACTGGATCTTAAGGGTCGTGTGTATCAAGCTACAGTAAGGGCTGTGTTGTTGTATGGGTGCGAGACATGGCCTCTGCGGTCAGATGATGTGAGGGGTCCTCAGGTTTTTGAACAATGATGCCTCAGAAGAGTGGCTGGTTTTAGATGGCGTCAGCGTATTATTAACGAGGGGATTAGAAAACGGGATTTGGTTTGTGCTGCAGGCACCTCAAACATCCAGCATCGTCGACTACGATGGCTCGGTCATGTGCTACGCATGCCGAAACACCTACTGAGACGATTGTTGTCCTCCGTGCCTCCTTCAGGATGGCGCAAACCGCGAGGTGGACAGCACATGACTTGGCAGAAAGGAATGAAAGAGGTCACGAAGAGTTTGGGTGTTGTTGGTGTTGTACGCCTTCCAGGACGGGGTCCCCGTGACCCCGCCTGTGCTTGTGTTCGGAGGCCAGCCATACCTAATAACCGAACATTTGGACGGATGTGTCACGCGCAGGACACGGGCCAAACGAAGGCATGCCCCGATTGGTCAGAATGCCAGTCTATCCGAGTCAGGTTCCTGTGACTCGACGCTTCTTGCCCCCTTGCGGAGATTCTGGCACGACCTTGTGGAACACTCTGTGACTACCCTATAAATACAGTTGTAATGATTTCCCTTTGTCTCCATAAAGAACTGTAGAGCTACCGTGTCTTTTGATATACCATAGTGGGCGGAGCAGGAAGCCAAGGGACCGCCACAGAGTTGCACTACCGTACAGCAAGTCAAACAGCTTGGCTGGAGACGTTTCAAGAAATGGCGTCTAATCGATGTCAGTGGCGTTCGTGCTGTCAGTTTCTTTCCAGATTGTCTGGTTGTATAGGTGAACCTTATGGTTGTACGGCAATGAAGCATCAGTGCCAACATTGATGTTGCTGTCTTTGATGATGATGCCTGCAGGCCGCCTCGTGGTACGATTACTCGCTGTTCTTCGTCAGGCTGCTACCTTCCCGGCATGGTTGAACCTTTAGGAACTGAGTTCCGGCTAGTATAGCCCGCAGGGTCATTGCAGCACAGACGCCCGATGATGACCAGGTGACAGCTTTAGGTTGGGAACACCGCTTGATGGAAACTAATGCCAGCCTGATTATTGGAATAAACTACGAATAATACATACTCATTTTGCAACGCAGGTAGGAGACGATTTAGTTTGTCTGCTTTGGAAAACGACTAGCGAACCTGTCCAAAACTGGAACGAACAACACTTTATTCACCTCCAAAGTTACAGTCGATTTCGGTCCGTTTTCAGACCGCTTTAGTTCGTTGAGTCCCCGTCTAACCCGCCCCTGAGAGACATCTGAAGAACGAGCTTTCATAAAAATCTCTCAAAGCTTCTCATGTAGGGTTATTGTTATCCTCAGGCGGTTAGAGGATGGTGCAGAGCCCGTTAGTATTATGTGTCGAAGTTAAGACGTCAGTACTGCAACTGGTTGACATTAAACTTGGGCATCCTACTGTTGGGAGGTTCTGGACGTTCAACTAAGGTTGTTCACAGAAGTACTCCAGATGGATTCCTGAGATCCAAATTCGTCTTGCAGCTCTAGTTGCCCACTAATTAGTTTCGTGCAACAAATTTAGTCTCTCTGATTCCGTTCAAAGCGCACATGCCTCCTTCCATTTTTGCGTCAGCATATGTTTGCAATCTTAAACTATCATTGAATCGCAGTGTAAGAGTACTTGGATGTGGGCACTTCAAGGAACTGCATAACCACCCTTGATGAGTACTGTATACCCTGAGTCCTGGATTTCACTATCTAGCGAACACCACACTCATCCCGAATAGACAGAATGGCTACTTGGTTTCTTGATATGGATTATGTTCTATCGTTACATCATAAACAAGCACATAATCCACGTAGGCAATTAGGTGCATGGCATGGTGGGTCAGCTGCTATGAAATGATCAGGACCTAAACCAAGATGAGCAGGCCCACACCTGTTACCCTGACAGGTCAAGTTGTTTGACATAGGCTTGTAAAAAGCAATTAAAAGTGGTGTAGGATGAGAATCCAGTATTAACGGAATGCTGCTTCTGACATGAGCTACATCACCGGCGCATTTCCCGTACCGTGCTGTGTTTGCGCCCATCCAGCTCGACTGGAAGCAACAAGGGAGTAGACAACTGTTGACCTGGCGATGGAGCAAGAAATATTTGACTTTAAGAGAAAATGAAGTTGTCTAGGCTTTGTAGCTGAGAACTGAAATGCTCCCGCGTGAAAATCAGTTAATTCAGTATTCGTCTGGCTAGATTTTTCCTGTTCATTTTTCTGGTACTCAGTATAGTTATTTGTGAATAACGCTGACATTAGTCACAGTAATATAGCGGTCGCCTACTTATTTAGCTACTGGCTGTCAAACGTCATTGGTTTGGAGCTTGACAATACTTGATGAAGTGATACGGTAGAGCGTGACGCGCTGCAGCTGACCTATATCAACGTCACTGACATAGCTGGCCTCCTGAGTATTTGAGAATATAGATGTGAGATTTGTTGTAGGCTTGCATTAATTTCTTTCTGTTTCGTTATTTTGTCATCAGGTATTTCCCAATATACAGCACGTATTCAAAAACAGTGATCCCGATATAACGATAATATGTGAGCTCGTGATAGCTCAGTGGTTAAGGCGCGGACTTAGTAATCGGCAGGTTCCTGGTTCGAACACAACCCTGTCTAGGCTTGGGCAGCATGGCAGCTAGCCACAAGCGTGTTACTGCTGAACGACCAACATTTATTTATCACGTCTGGGTCCCTGTTACAGTCGAACCAAGATCGACTGCTGTGCCACACGCTGCCTACTAGCACTCATGTTATTGCATAACCTAATGCTCCATTCAGCTTTGCTCTGTTACCTCTGGGTAGAGTCGGTATGTCGGTCAGCTAGGCACCGAAAATATGTTACAGCTGGACGGCTTTGTGGTGTTGCGGTTATGTGAGTCGCTGTTCCAGTTTAGAAAAATGAGATGAACCCTTAAACCTATTTGGAATAAGTGTGCCCAGCAATTATGCTTAGGACAATTTGGCACCAGTCCTTACTATTGATGTATTACTGTTGTTGATCAATTTTACTACTCTCTACAGGCATATGAACATCGTGTTCATTGTATGGCCACCTACAATGACAATGGATTTCTGAAGCACTATACAGGTGTCAACAACGAGGTGGCTCTGAACTCGCCTATCTTGAACAATCCAGTGTGTTGTACCAGTGAACCAAAAAAGACCATCACATCCGGCCCAATCATGCCCCCTAGGGCAACAATGGAACCGGTCTTCGTGACCAACAATTTTGCTCCGGATTCCGATTTGAACCGTGAACGGACGACTAACCCTAACCACCGTCTCAAATCATTCAACCAAATGGATGGTGAGTGTAGCACATGTGCGAAAAGTACGGAACACATTGGTCCTCAGCGCATGGCCATGAACCTGTTCGAATCGGATGTTACATTCAACGGACGCCGAATCCGGCCGGATCTTGACACCAGACGATCATGCTACAGGCGGAGACTAGAGGCGTACGCTGAACGTCTCAAGAGTGTGCGCATGAAATCTGCCGCAGTTTTAACTCGGCTTATTGCCATGAAGCTGCGTACCTCCAGCGTGAGCGGCACGCACTCTTCGGCTCTTCCCAAAACTATTTCGCGCATCTTAGCTGAAGATGAGACAGAAAGTAGTTCGGATGATGAATCGTCGGCGCCATCAGTACCTAGGTTTGTTTTTTAAATACCACATAACACAACTACCTAATTACAGGCTGGAGGACCACTGGGTCTGCACGCGTGCGGTCGTTAATTCACACTGGCACTGGCTCATTACAGAAATAAAAAGAAGTGAACAAAATTTAAGGAATCTCCGGCATCTAAAGGCCAGCTTTAGAGCCTGGAAGAATGGTCTCCCCCTAAATTTGCCTATGGACACTTCCACTGAAGCCACTTGTTCTAGAGTGACTCCATTTGTGAAGGATTCTTCGAGACGGCATTGTTATCATGACCTAACATCCGCGAAGTGCAGTCGATTGGTTTCCGAACTGAGTAAGTTTTGTTTCTGGGTTCTAGTATATGTTTTCCAGACCCGTTGTCCACAGACCTACACTTGAGATGCTCTTGTATCCCTGGTTATATTGGACCTTGTATCATATGCTGTGCACAGGCGCACACCTCTCCACCATCCACAATCGCGGAAGCAGAAAGTATTGACCTTCTGACGCGTGCGAGACCATTAAGTGGCCACATTCATCCAAAGTTATCTATTCCTGGAGGTGAGTTTTGCATCCTAGTAAACTGTCTACATGTTTGCTCCAGATGCCAATGACAGTATGGTTTTCAATGGAGGTTTTGTATGAAGAGTGCTTATTTCAGTGTTTCAGACAGATCTCGATTGGCCTCCACGGTTGCGAATCAATAAACTAACACAGAAAATGGTGAATGCGAAAGTATTACTTTGAGGATCGGACAGATGAAAGAACGATTTATTCATGCGATTAGGATGACGTTCGTTTCCATGCGGCTAATCGGTAGCCAACTCAGTTCAGTCGGAATGAACAAGTTAGTCTTTTTTGGCCACACAGGATGGAACTCACTAGTCTGTTAGTGCGTTTAACGGTAACCGAGGGTCGTCTAGGTCATTTTGTTGTATCCTTGAAGAAAGTCCTGTATTCGCCGAGTTGACCTGGTGGCCTTCGTCTACTGAATCGTCTGGGGTAGCACTGTCCTGGTCCATTCTGTTCACTGCTCACTGATAGGTGCCAATGCGGTCTATCCACTTTGCGGACGCTCACGAACGGGACCTCTTTGGTAGACGAAGACTGACCGCTTCTCTTTGGTGGTGGCATCGGCCATCAGTAAGTCGTCGAACTAAAGCTCCAGTTCTGACGTTTTGAGTGACCGTCTTCCTAAGGCTTATCATATTCTTAGACGTTACCACTCCTAAGGAGAGGTTGACGCCGGTACTGATATTGGCTGCGTTTTCTACTGGTTCCAATGTTTTTTACCTCAGCTTTTCTTAACGATGAATCGGCTGCAACGATATCCCAACCGTCGACTCCCATGAAGCAAGAAGCACTGGTTCAGCGTCAGCCACAGCTGTCTGTGTATCTCACTTGTCTCTGCACCAGCTGATACCGTCAGTCTCACTTCGCAGGCCACTTTACTCTTCACTATCTCGCTACCTTTTGAGCAACTTTCGTATTCGGTGCGCAACACATGCGTTTTGTTATGACATTTTAATGCCCAGTGTATGACTCTTATTGGTGACACCCGTCTCATACTAATCTAAGCCTTATTGAGAATGAATGCCATTCCTATCATAAACTAACATCTGTGCCATTCCTAATTTTTAAAACGATGGATTCGCACGCTTTCTGGATAACTGGTACATGTTTATGTATGCGATATGTGTTGTAGTATCCCTCAGTGAAGCAATAAAATCCCTTCGGGAGAATAGCCTCTCTTCATAGAGGTTGGATACTAAGTTGTGTTTGTTGCAGTTCCTTTCTAGGGTCACTACTACGCATCACATAAACTAAAGAAGTGCAGATGTGCGTAAGGGGAATGAGCTGGAATGTCTGAGATCCATAAGTGGCCTACCCACTGAACAGTGAGCCAAGTTTCGTTCATGTGGAGTGTCAGCGAGACCGTTAATTTGCCGTGCGTTTACCTACCTGCTTTAGTGTCCTTTGAACTTTCTGTTTTACTGTTCCATCAGCCTTTATTTTGAGAACTACATGCAGATAATTTGCGTATGTCGGTTATTCAGTTAGTTTAGGTTGTTGACAAAAGTGGTTTGGGTCTGCATGCTCCGTATTGCCGAGAGAAATCAAGTTGACTAATATCCGGATGCCTTCAACATCGAAGAATCTAGATTTTTATGTTACTTCAGGCGGTCAGCTTTCGGCAGCCATTTGTTGAGCTGAGTCCTCGGTGCACACTTTCTGGGCACAGTTTCACTGCTCTGTGTAATTTCAGGTTGTGAGTTTTGCCCACTTCGTTCCTTAGGCAGTCGGCGCTTATATTAAATTTCTCTCACAACCTGGACAGTAAGCAAATCAACCTTTATATGGACTTGATATCTACTCATAAGGTTGTTCAAAACGACCGGTTTTGCCGTTCTTGGCGCTCATCAGATAAGCCCAGTCCATGAGTTTCCATCAGCCTAATGTACTTCAACCCAGATTGTACACTTTGTTGCTTAAAACATCATAAACGAGAGATTCATCTGAGTTTTAGGTGAGTCTCCCGTCAAAACCAAATGGGTATGCGAATAAGTGTATCTTGCTACAATTGATCTTTGACCCAACGGCTTTTTGTCCGACATTAACCACACTCTATCTACTTTCTTTTCATGTTGAATTTCGGGTACTATTAATCCCGCTCCAGGTTTCCAAACCGAAGGTTTGGTTTGAAGATAATTCTGATTTATCGATCCCCCGTGTTCAGGCCTGGTTAACGTGATAATTACAGGTCCCCACGCTTCCGACTTGTGTAGAAAGTTAACGGTCACTACGATTTAACCGTGTTCTGCCTACGACCCAGACCAAGGCACCTGTAGGTCACCTGTAGGCAGGCGGGCTAGTTTTCTGCCGCAACTGGATATCCCCGTAACACTTTGACTAGTCACATCAGAGGAGAGTCATCGTATCATACAACAATCTAAGCCTTGTTGTTTCTCGTTTCCGTTGAATCGGGATCTTTGAATCGACCCTATCAGAGTAAACACTACTCAATTGCATAGCATAACGCTGCAGTGATTCTCTTATGCTGTAGTTACTGCGTGTGTGTGTGCCACTATTGGAAACATTTTTGCTCAATCCAGCTATAAACGGAAAACAACTGCAAAGGTAATAGTGAAGTGGTATGCTTATCACCGCTTTGTGCGCGTGGATCTTCGCGAAGTTATTTTGCTGTTTTCAACGGCACTGAACCTTGAAAATCTTTCGATCGACGAGTCACCTTGAGGTGTTTTTAACATCGGTTCTATATTGTTCAGCTTTAGACTTAACAAACCGTAACGATGTCCGGCCAGTTGGAATTCTCCCAAGTACACATGATACCATTGATTACATTCAGTTTGGCGACCGAGCTTACTAGTTTTTTCGATGGACAGTTTATGGATGCATGAATTTCCCATCATGCTATCGAGTGGCTTGCACTTCATTCGATACTCGGCACCATGATATCGAGCCCGACCCCGGCGCCTCAACTGTTTCAATGTAGACTTGGCTAACCTGATAATGTCCAATTAATAGTGGTTCCCCTGAATGGAGTGGAAGTCATTCACTGATACTACAGCCGAACAATTATTATTACCTGGCACCAGGTCCTCGATTCATGTCAACGCTAAAACTAGACACCTTTCGATTGAGTGGGGTTTTTGCCTGCGTGTTGATTTGCTAGTGTTTAGAAGTGCACATGTTACGGGAACTTTCGTGAACTTTGGTAACACCTCAGCCCTAAGGCCTATCTTTTATCCGGTTTCCACCACTGTCCATTGCGTATTGTTCGTCTGGGCATCCTGCATGTGACACCGTATTTTTTATTTTGTATACAGATATCCAGCTGTCTCTTCGCTTGGAATCTCGATTAGCTGCCACGTCAAGTACAACATTTCGAGAGCACAAAACGGCAACTCGTTCCGTCACACAAGCTGATAAGCCGGTCTGTCTTCGACGGTTTGTTCCTGATGTGAACAATAAAATCATACACCGTGTCGAGCGGCGTAGCACAGTGAACAGTGAAATTTCCGCCCGAACAACACATTCGAATAAATTGTTGCCACATGGTTCGATTGCCGACAGACAACTTCCACTAGATCGGTTCCGGTCCAAGTTAAACGTACACCGAGAATTTCGTCAGTTGCCACACCGTCCCAGCAGTAAATCATCAAACGGCCCTTCGGCACTACGACGAGTAAGTTCTACAGTCTGATTAGCGCAGGGTACACTGAACCAAACCGTATTTCAAATTATTCCACAGGGTAGCTTGCATACCAGAAAAAGCTGGGATTTCATGTGGACGAAAGTTATGGGAAATCTGTTGCCCAGAGAGACGCTTCGTTGTCCAACATTGTGGACACTGAGGAGAATGTCTTCACTCTCTACCAGCTAGAACATCATCAAGCTTCCAGAGGACCAGCAACCTTCGGTTTTGATCTAAGAGCAGTGTTTGATCAGTCAGTCGATCGTGCCTCTTTGCGGCAAATCGAGGCCTCAAAGGAGTACTCCAACAATAGGAAAATGCAAAATGGAATGACGGTGCGAGGAAAACTGTCTTCCGTGTAGCTTTGTTAAATTTGTGATAAAAAAGCGGAATTTTCAAAGATATTGTTAGCATTTTTCTGAATCACCTGAAACTCACGGTGAATGAAATATTTGGGAGTTCATCGTTAACAAAAGGATAATTCACCTCACAAGCTTACCACGTCTGTGCTTTGGGAACTTGATGTCCGGAAGTAAGCCTTCTTTGATGCGGAACGATCAGAAAAAGAGCTCTGTGGGTTAATGAGAGACTGGAATCCTTATGATGGGAATTGCCGTGATGAATTGAATGAAGATGTGAGCTGTCTTCCAAGTACGGCTTAATAAATTCGACACGTTGATGGAGATTCTATACCACAACAAATTTTTGTGGCTAACACTGGAACATCACATCATGACCTCTACCCAATATCTCTCGCTTGATAGCTGTTTAACATTAGGTGCATATTTTTTGTGTTTGTAACCATCCAAATAGTTGAATGAATATGTCTGTAGGGTGCTGGCTTTGAAGACCTTATTTTCACAGTAGTATGTGATACCGATTTGATCATAAAGTCTATTAGATACTAACCTAGACGCCCTCGCCGTCATGATGAAGCTTCATACCTGGTGGCGCTGGTATACCTATTCGTCTATAGTGTCCCTAATACACTGCTTGTTTTGCATCCCCGTAAGTCTTGATTACTGGCCTAACTTAGCTTACACTAGCGATGTCCGAGCGAAAGTACAATTGTCCATATTTTGCGGTTCCACAACTGAGGTCAACTCAACCGGCGTTTACCTCCATGTGGAAACTAAACCCCTTGGAACATGAAAGATGAGTTGTTGGACTCACACGCTGAACGTTAATCATACGTTTTTACATGGAAACTTTCAAACTATCTAGCCTTTGTTCTTTGAGTCATCCCAAGTGTCAGATAACTGACTAGGATGCTTAGTTCATTTCTCACTAGTGCGATACAATTTCACTGTGATCTTTTGACGTCATTGAATGGGTAACTGTCGGCCCAAAGTAGCGAGACAGCATTCAACCGCTCCACTGCAACGACGATCGTGTTCTTGTGGTACCAAAATTACAAAACAAAGTGACAAGGGGACTTTTTACTAGTTCATCTTAGGTATTCAGATAACTTAAGTAGCAGCTTACCTCGTCGACTGACTGACTGGTCCGGTGAATTCTTTTTAGCATGGTTTTAGCTTTTCCGTAGTGATCATGTTTTGAATGTTTGTGTTGTTTCTTATTTACTTGCAGATCCTTGATTTGGCCCCGGATGGCGACCAGTCTGATACGACTCAATCGTGGCACGCCTCAGATGGCCTGGACGAACAGTGATGGGATATACGGCCGACCTGGTCTCCATAATTCCAAACCCCGATCGTCCTGTACACTGAGACGGCGCATTTACACGGTGGTTCTCAGCTAATAACGGTCTGGGTTTGAACCGACTTCGTATGCACAGTGCAGAATATTCGTTCCCTCTGTCGTGTTACTGCATAGTGTCGTCCGTTTCGCTTCAACGTCTATGGCATTTATCACCTCTAGTCGTGACTGCGGTTGTTTTGGCTTTGGTTCGTGGACTTCGCATTTTTGATTCTCTGCTTTGACTCAGTGCATTGGCTCACGGAAACGATCCATGCGCCAGCTCGTATGTACATATTCTTGTGGACGTCGTACCTGTATTCGTATGCGTCGCATGTTTTATCACTCTTCACATACCTTCTTGCAGCATCAGCATGTGTGTATTACACTGTCTTGTTTTTTTACCGGAACCGTCGTCGTCTCGGCGCCCCCTCATACTTCTCTGTTGTCCTATCAGCTATCCTTACTTAGCAGCGAAATCCTTGTAAATTTGTACAATAATCTTATCAATATGCATAGCTCGGTGCAATCGAATGTGCGCATTATTTAGCAGAAATTCATTCGCAATTTGTGATTATTTCCTGTTCTACCTTGTAGTTTACGGTCTGTCAAGATTACGCGTCAAGTGTTTTTAGCGTATTTGTCCGTTGGTGTGGTCTGCTGCGAGATGGCGCAAGTAGTTAGAGTGCGAATCTACTGACCGGAAGGTCCGTGGTTCGAACCTGACCGCCTATCGACTTCCTGTGTCTAGGGTTGGGCAGCCTGGTAGTATCCCAGCCCTCATACTTCCTTCTGGTGGTATGGCAGTTAGGCACTGGAAAGGTGCTACAGATGAACGTTTTTTTCTGCTGCCCTTAGGCGCTGAGGATACAACTGTCCAGGACTGGTCATAACTGCGGTCCTCAAAACATCAGGCATTCCAATGGGATTAAAAACTCCATATCCTAGTGGTATTTCGTTAGTGAATGCAGCTTGGGACAAATGGTCTTTAAGGCAGCTATTCCCTTGCTTACTTCATCGAAGGGAAAGCCACTCATCTAATACATGTTGCTTAAAGTAGTCTTGGGTAGATCGACTTGTATCAGTTCCAGTGCATGAATGGATTCTTCTCTTCGTTGGTCCACTCCGTCCTACATTAGTTCGAAGCGGATTGGTGTGTTTTGTGGCCTACCTGTTAATTACTAGCCAATCCAGTCTGCATGTTACTACGGACAAACCAAAGCCTAAAACTGGACATTGCCTCGATGTTGCATAATCGGTTACGAATGTGTTAGGTGGATTACACCAACAAGTGTGCACTTTGTACGTGGTGCGTACTGTTGGCCTACTGAGTTCCCTATCAGTTGCGCCTTGCAGCATAGTTTCGGCCACGAGTCGGGTGAAGTTGTAAAGAGCAATGCCGAAGGCCAAGTGTGAAGCTGCTGGATCCACATAGTGGTTCCCTAAGTCCGGTTCACTTTTTGTTGTGCTTACCAGACACTGCAGTTTTTCATGCAGAGGTCGGATGGCTTTGCTCACATCCGCTTTAGATACCTCACTTCAGTGAAATGTTTTTGATCTAACAAACTAGACATTAGGTTAGTTGAAAGATGAAAAATGTAATCGCGGATAAAAGCATTCCCTGCACTTGTGGAATTTTAGCAGTGGGGGGATTTATGTACAGTTCAAATTCTGCTGTTGGATGGTGAAACTTGGATCGCGGGATAAGCACGAAAGACGTTATAGGCTTCGGTGTATTGTAGCACGTCGGCCTTGCCGATACGTTTCGGTAATGGTTAACTGGCATCTGTAGACAGCAGTAGTTCACAGCAATGCTCGGTCTGATCACCCGCGACGGCGTACACATTCGACAGCAACTGTTCCTGCTTTGTTTTACACCAGCTTGCGACCAGGTTTCCTTGGATGGAAACATCGATGGCGATGGAACCCAGCCTAAGTCATCCTTCTCTTTGTGTGGGTTGTTCTCTCATCAGGATATGTCCACCAGGTGAGGTAATTCGATCGGTACCCAATTATTTGTTAGGTAGAGGTAATTCCTTAACCGGCGAAGTTACATCGTTCATCTCGCTCACAGTTGGCTTTCTCTGAGTTCACCGGAATTTACAAACCAGGCGCATAAATTAAGCATCGAGGTTGGTGTGTCATTCGCTTGGCCCCCCTCATTCTTGTATCTGGAAGGTGAATTCATAACGCCCTAAAACTACCAACACAATTAGATAGGTGCGTCGGTTGTTCTTTCATTCAGCCTGTCAGTTCATCTGTTTCTTTCAGAGGTGACCCCCTCGGTGTGCACCGCTGACCAGTGGGATTCAGCCTGTCCCAGTCTAGTTCGTTATCAGTTTCCACACTTTTCAGGCGAGTCAGATTTGGATTGACAAGTTCGGCTGAACCGATCTAGGCGTTGATTTTTACCGTGGCCCGATTGGCACAAATAATCAATTAAGCATCGAGGTTGGTGTGTCATTCGCTTGGCCCCCCTCATTCTTGTATCTGGAAGGTGAATTCATAACGCCCTAAAACTACCAACACAATTAGATAGGTGCGTCGGTTGTTCTTTCATTCAGCCTGTCAGTTCATCTGTTTCTTTCAGAGGTGACCCCCTCGGTGTGCACCGCTGACCAGTGGGATTCAGCCTGTCCCAGTCTAGTTCGTTATCAGTTTCCACACTTTTCAGGCGAGTCAGATTTGGATTGACAAGTTCGGCTGAACCGATCTAGGCGTTGATTTTTACCGTGGCCCGATTGGATGACCACAAATAATCATTGAGTCCTCGGCTTTCATAGTCTAACTCGCATTACATGTGTACGGCCAAACTACTGGATCGATATCCGCAGTTTTGTCATATATGAGGGTTTGTCTGTGTGCTTTCCTCCCGAAAGCATGTCTCACATGGTCCTTGATGTCACCCTACGCAAGATAAATAAATCAGCTCTGTTCCAAACACCCTGTCTATCTACATAGCTGATTAATACGCAAGAGGAATGTGACCTTATGCGTAGCTGAACGGAACACGCCTTACACTGGAGTGTACTGTTTCGTCCAGTTTCAGTCCACTTGTCGAACAGCCTGCAGGTAACTTGATAGGTCTCCATATTGTTGCTTTTCTAGTGAACCATTGAATTATAGCCTATATATGGAACCCGTCCATGTTCTTGATGGGAGCCAGTCCCACATAAGTAGAGAGAGCACATTGTTCAGCAATTTCTCGGCGGATTTATGGTTACTTATGGTATACAGTGCACTCCCCCTGGAGACCCCAATACTCTCTCTATCTGAGGGGTGTATTTACTACGTGGCAACAAACCTCACCAACTGATCATTAGCATCGGTCCATTTTGCATGATTCTGTCCCTATTATGGTTCGGTTGTTCACCTTAATTACGCGCATTTCGGTTTCTTTCTGCCACAAACAACTTCAGTACGACTTATCGCTTGTTCGATTTCATCTCTGCTAACAAGCTTACAGACGGAGGTTTGTCTCTAAGAGTCACCCGCCAAAAACTACCGGTGGAGTTTTCTAGATGTCTCACTCCTGTCGACGCAGACATTGCAGAATGTAGGAATAACAAGTCAAGTAGTTCATGTCTGTTGGGAACATCCTCTTGACATAAGCGGTTAAGGAAAATAGGCCACTTGGGGTCAAAAGAAGGAAGGTGAGTGGGTTAGATCGATCGGCCATTAGTTGTGAGCGTAGTTTTAAAATCCTAAAGGACATCCTGTCCACTTGGTGATGTACACTTATTTACAACCTGACGAATGTGTTCATGTTTTTCAAATGGATATACTGATAAAAAAACGCCTTTGGTACGATATTCAGGATATCAGTGTATATTTTCTTGACGGAACACACCACTCTGAGGCTGCTGAAGACTGACAGTCCAATGGGATATAGTCTAACGTTCACGTAGAAGGGGAGCTTTGGGAATACGTCTACCTGATAAGTCCCAAAAAGCGCAAAATCGGTCGTGGGCTGTCAAAGGGTTTTCGGTGACCTTATGAGCAGTATGCTCCACCAAGAAATGCCACTCGGTTTTTCATTATAAACTATCTGTACCTAACATCACAGAATTAACCGCTGAGCTGCAATCATTGTGTTACACTACGACTTAAACCATTTTCAGATTTATCTGCGGAAAAGTTTTTCTAATGCACTGTAAGCAAGTAATAACCAGCCGCAGGAACTGTAAAAGCCCAACCGTCTCATCAACAGAGTGTTATATTTAATCCTTTCTCTTCCATCCTTGTGGGGAGGGGGCGAGATGGCTCAAGTGGTTAGAGCACGAATTTACTGGCCATAAGGTCCGTGGTTCGAACCCGGCCTCTAACTCTCGACTTCCCTGTCTAGGCTTGGGCAACCTGGCAGTATCCCAGTCCTCATGCTTCCTTCGGGTGGCATGGCAACTAGGCACCGGAAGGGTGTTACAGCTGAACGATTCCATCCTTGTTCGGACGAGATGTTCAAAACTCATTTCTTACTGATCGCAAGGCCCGCGGTTCGAAAACAACTCTGACATTTCGAGTGCTCCAGTCTAGGTTTGAACAACCTGGCAGTATATGAGCCCCCATGCTTCCTTCTTGTGGTATGACAGTGAACCACCGAAAAGGTGTTACAGCTGAACAGTTATATGATTTTTCCCTTATTGCAAGTTGTATTTTTCGCCGCGAAATGATCTGGCCTGGGCTTGATAGGTGTATAAGATAAAAACTGGTCGTGAAATTCTAATTTCCCCTTTCCCTACACAGATACACACACACCAACATCAAAAATAATCACGACGGTTAAATGTATTGCCGGTATTCCGCTTATATTCGGTTCGGACAACTCGCCAGCTGATCTTCCGGTTTTTAGAGCAAGCCACTTCCTTTCCAGAGGCGCATGCTCTGTTGCTGATCCTTTATCTTCCCTTTTTCTAACCAATCTTCATTACATGAAGGTGCCTTATGACACATGAGCACTGGTTTTCAGCCGTTTTTTGTGCAATCCTTGAGCTCTCCAGCACGTATGCAGCAGTTCCGGAGAGTAGTCATCAGAGGAATCAGCCTAATGTGTGGACACGACTTTGGCAAATGTTCTAAGCCTTCCCCAGCCACGAGCTGACAATAATTGCTCTGCCTTGGCTTCGTTCGACGAACGCAAGGGGGTCGGGATCAGAGACGAAAGTCGCAACCTTCCTTAACTTAGTTGTTTTGTTTCTAGGAGTTACTTCGTCTCCGAGCTAGTCTGTCACATCGAATCTCGCCAACAGCCCCCGGCGTGCAACAGGTGCCGTAGTTTGTGCTCAGCCGCGTAGCTGATAGAAGTCCGAAGGTGTCAGACCAGACTGTGGCGGGAGTGAGGCGGTTCTATAGCGGCTACAATGCTTGTCATATGGATTTGAGACCGTGTGGGGTACCTGAGCAGTTGGAACTTACCGTGTTTGCGAAAGATTATCTGATAGCCCACGCTACCCGGAAAAGAACATAAGGCTAGTTCATGCAAGCAAGTACTCGTAGTTACGAAACTGGCAAGCTTGGTAGTCTGGGTAGTCTCTAGTTTTCAAGTGAATTAGTATTACAGAAGAACAAAATAGAACGTTACAGTCTCACTGAATACAGTACAAAGCTTATATGATAAAGGTAGTAAAAAAAGCAATCCTGCAACTCAAACCAGGGGCCCAGTGAAGCAACCCAAACATGGTTCCCATTGGTTTGGGCAATGGCCGATCCCCGAATTAGAGCGATGCTTGTTACCAGCCGACTGTGTTCCATATACAGAGAAACTCATACCCACCCATGGATAAACGCCGCTCTTAAACTATGGGAAAGTTCCCGTGCTCCTGTGTGTTTAGTCTTTTTTGAATGGTCGTTAAAATGTAGTTTAAGGTTCATCATGGTCGTTCGCGAAAACACAGCTAGGCAGGAGGACGATTGAGTCCTTCGACCTCAGCTTTTGGCCCAAAATCCTAACGATAAGGCATCGGGTGGGTGTCGGAAAACTACCAGCGTTTTCAGGGGACGAATCGCTTTGCGTGGCTCAGCCCCCAATCTGCTGGATCAGAAGAATGTGTTCCTCAAACCTTTATCCACTAAACAGCCTAGAATGAGAAACTACCGGTGTATAAGTGAAACCCCAAGGTATAGTTTAGTGAATCGTGGATGCACACGGACCACAAACAGTGATGAGTACCATTTACTCCACAGCGGAGATTGGATTGTGAGACAGTTTGTAAATTCGGCTACCTGGCTAGACCAGGTGGCTAGAACTATTCCAAAAATTGTCTAGACCCAACTAAAAACGAGCTAGAAACACAGTCAAGATGAAACGCTACACTGAAATTTTGTGTGATGACGACAGAAACACCGTAACTGCAATAAATATCGCTCCGTTGACGACACGATCGACTGCGTTTTTTCATTTTTCCGTTTAAGTTCTCACAGCTCCGGTAAAACCGGCTGAAACGTACTGTGCAAACAACTGCGGCTGTCGTTGATATTCGGACGATTATTACGATCAAAATTGATAGATGCGTCATTTTTTAAAGGGGTTGGCTGTTCAGGAGGGACAATTATGATTGTGGATATAGCACACACACCACAAGAGATAAAACAATGCTAAATCTCTTTTTTTCCAGGGATATCAGCTGCTCTGTAAAATGACCAGCTCTAGACAAAGGTCACTTTCAATAATTACCAAAGGGTCTTTCTAAGGGAGATGACCCCATTTCCAAGAACATCGACAGCCAAAACATTTGCTTACGTGCAACCGAAGTGCCTTACGTACAAGAATACGGCGCTGTAAATGGATTATCTCCCTAATCTAATCTAAACCATCATTTTTGTCGGATATTTGCCCAGCTACGCACATTTGGTGTCTGAGTTCTATACTTTCTTAGAGTCCTAGGCAATATGGGGACGTCTAATGCGCAGCCTCCTACATTTTCCTACACTTTCTGCCACGCATTACTCAGCGTGCAGTTTTACCCACCAGTTTAGTGAAGAGGCCGCCCGAGGCTGCTGGACTGTTGTATCTGCTAAATTCGACGGCTATGATGAATAGTCCTCTTGCGGAAGCCTTGAATAGATCTGCAACAAAATAAGTGCCTCGTTTTAACGTTTGCTTTTTCACTACCCATGCTTCAATTACTTGGATGCTTTCTCATAAATATTCATACATCTGCCCAGTGCTGTTTGTTGGTCAAGTTTCATTGTCTTACTCATTAATTAAGCCGCTTGTCGTTATCCCAATAGGGGGCCAATGTCTTAGAATGCTTGCCTAGCTGGGATGGCGGGCACTAAATAAAAGTTTCACGCACACTTCCTTGATAACCCGTGTAATTAACCTAGTAGAGATCTGCCTGTGTGAATTTCGCGAACATGCCCAACACCACGCTGATGATGTCACCTCAAATAGTGAGAAAACGTCTGCAAGTCATTTGCGGAGCTCGGTAGACAGGTCAACACTCATCTGATTAGTTACCAGTTCCGCAAACGATGATTTTGGTCACATGCATGTTGACCATCTGCTCGAACCGGGAATTATAGATCTGAGAAACGCACTCTGTTTACTTCACGTTCATCTTTGTGTTGGTATCTGGATTTCAGGCCTTTTTAAGAGTCACGCCAAGATGACTTTTGTCTCTAATCTCTTATAAGTAATACCGGCCAGTTTATAAAAAAGTGCCGAATTTTTACCAGCACTGCCAGACGGCCATGCAATGGCCTGACGTGAAATTCGCCGTTTCCCGCTTACATAAAAACCGTGGTCCAGATGACTGTCTGTTCAGCTGTACATCGTGGATCAATACTGCTGCCAAATATCATATCATTAGTCAAGGTGAGGCTATTTCACGCTGAACTTGATATCCTTAGATCACTCAGTTTTAATGCAATATCTCCTTGTTGTGGAACAATGTCTTTGAGGTAGAGATTGGGCGATCGAAGAATGATGACTGATGCCCTGTCTTTTCAGTCTACGCTAATTATATGATGGCGTGATTCTCCTGTTTTGTTGCCGGCGCGTGATTTTGGGCAGACGATTCTTCGGTTACCACCTTCAACAAGCTTCTGTTTCCACAATTCCATCACACAGTTCATTTTTTTCTGTCAAATTGAAAACGCACGTCGGCACATTTTCTGACGATGACAGCTGTCCAGTACCTGCCTCGCGTGTTTGCTTTGTCATTTTACCGCATTCTGAACCCTCCAATCAGTTCACACATGTTGTATTGATTGTTGTCTCCAACAGAACGCTAAAAGTCACTAGTGATTGATTCGACGGCAAAGCCCGAAAAGCACTGTACAGCTGTTTTATCCTTACTGGAAATAATCAGCAGTGCCTAGCTACAAAAGGGAATTTCGAATCCGCAACCTCCCGGCTAGCACTTTGAACGCCCAGCCGTTCGACCATTAATGTCGTATCAGTAGTGTGATTTACTCTCGCACTTAGGCAGAAGACAGAGGATACACTTAACATTCAGTCATGGAACCCATATTACGTTGCCGTACGTGCTCACTGACTCCTCGACTAACGACGTTTCAGTTGGAGGTCTTACTCATCTTGTAAAATCATTCGTCCCCTGGAACTCGTAGGAATTGTGATTGTGCTTCGTCTAATCACGCTTGGCTATCCTGTATAGTCTGCAGCACCAGGTTATGATAATTGCATTGTAAAACTGGCAATCAGCTTGATATGCTTGTAGGTGGTGTGGATCTAGACAGACCCATACTACTGTTTTCGCTTCCCCATACAAAGTAGTCTCTTAGTATTTACTGTCATGAGGTGAAGACAACTACAATTTCGCCGTAAAATGACAGCTCTCAAATGGGTACACAATGCCGCCCAATTTGTCAGAAATCGACGTTTCTGCTCACTTGTCTAATCTACCTAAGAAATACCTAGATGTGTTTTTCGTTCATTCCGGTATTTTACACCAAAGTAACCATACCTGGGGAATCAGATTCATGGGCCAAACGGTGAGATACTTCGTTACATACCAAGGTATTCCCTTGATGGAACACAATACTTTTAGGGTTTTTGCAAATTCCTCGATAGCTGATGACTGATTCGAACGTATCAGGTTGTTGCAGCCCCTGATTATTCGTCGACCTTAC